ACAAGAAGAAATCTACAAGGGATACAATGAGGACCTATATACCAAGAAACTTCCCTGGTCTGCAAGGCTGCTCTTAGGAAGCAAAATTATCTGATGCTACTTTTCTTCAGTTAATGGCTTAGCAGATAGGTGATCCCACTTTCTTTTGCCCCCAGAAGCTGACGTATTCTAAGGAGTTGCTGAGAGCGGACGGCTGGTGATTTTCAGCCATTCTTTCTTCCTACGTCAGCGCTCACAGTACATGATTCGTTACAGAAATTCTTACAATCAACACTGAAGCAGGGGCAAATGAGCTCAAAGTAAAAGTAGGCTTGATGTACCTTGTTTATCTGTTTGAATAGGCATTAAAAAAAAAAAGGCCTGTAGGTTTCTTGCCCTTCTTATATAAGAATTGGATCTCTTTGAACGGCCAAGGAGAAGGTAGTTTGATTTTGGCATGAGGTTTAGGGGAAGAAATGCCTTTGTAGCTGGTCCTAAATATTATGGTAACTTGGACGAGTTAGCCTCCAAGGGAGAAGTTGCCACATGTTTTAACAGAAGCCACTGGGCTTGGCAAGACAGAGAGCGGAAGAGTTACAATGGAATGGCACTTTCTCTGCCATGGCAGAGGTGTGCTGGAAGAAACACCCAGGACAAGCTTCCTTGCCACAGCTCACCAAAGTGAATGCTGTCCTGCCGGCCAGGGCTTGTAACCAGCTCTGAAGAACACTAAACGCTGACGTTAATGTCTAATGAATTCCTTGGGAAGAACTTTTATCTTTCTCCTAACTTAAAAGAATAGAAAGCAAATTAACACTAAGGGGGAGTGGCAAAAATTGTGAATCTGAGACTTTGGGGAAGACCAACTTTTCAAATCTCAATTCTGCAGCTCTACAGTAAGGCTGCCACTGCTTTCCTGTCCATGTTTGATTAGATTCCTAACTGGAATCCAGCTCACCACTGTGAATAGCCATTCTCAACCACAGACGGCCCTGCTCCGAAGCGTCTCCAAATCCCACACAAGATCCCTCTGGCAGAGCAGACGGCTCTCAAGGAGTTTTTACTCAAAGTTTTACCAGCTGCTTGGTGTGCATATAAATTTTAAGGCATCTCACGCCAATAATAATGGAGTTTCTAGACATTCAGACCTTTTTTAGGTTAAAACCATGAAAGGAAGCAGAAACATTAGCTCATACCTTAGGTGTGTACACAGACTCATGTGTTAAACGAAACAAACTGCAGGCCAGGGCTAGCGGGATGGATGCCTCATTCCAGAAAGTGCTCACCAACTGTGTGAAGAAAAGCAGGCAGGCATGGTGGTGCTTGCTTCTAACCTCCAGCACTGGAGAAGTAGAGACAGACAGCGGGCTCACCGCTGGGCCAGTCTCGACTACTCAGTGAGCTCCAGACCAAGGAAAAGTCCAGTTTTAAAATAAGGTGGTTGGTGGTCTCGAGGAAAGATACCTGAGGTTGACCTCTGATATCCAAATGCGTTCACATGTGCACTCACTCACAAAAAAAAAGGAAACAGACCAAGGGGCAATTCTTTTAAACCGTGTCATATTTTTATAGAGAGAGAAAAAAAAAACCATAACACTTTTACTCTGCCAGAAATCAACTAAAGGTGAAATAATTATGTAGGTTGAGCAGTGAATGCTGCCTAGTTTTCAAAAATCAAATTTCACTCAATTACCATTTATAAGAGGAAAAATAAATGTATATAATTGATAGTGAAAATTGTATCACTGGTTCCCAGTTATAAGAGACAAAAACAAAATTAATTTTGAGGGGGAAATTGGTAGGAAATACACATACTGGCTTCAGTTTACCTAGTTTCCCATGTGTTTCATTTAAAAAGCAAGGGGACATAAGTAATAGATAAGCAGAGTCTACATGAGGCAGAAAGGCAGTGGGAAGGGTCTGGACCATCAGAATCGGAACATCGGGGATTGCTTAAAAATGTAGATTCTGCTGAGTTCGCAGGAGCACTGGTGTGGAGTACAAGTCAGAAAAGATGGTCCTGGCTGTGGGCGGCAGGGAGGCAGGAGACATGATCTGAGTTTCTCTGGGAAGGGCAGGCAGGCAAGTGTGGCTGAAGAGGATAGCCTCCAGGCAGGGCTGGGTGGATTCAACTCCAGGGATGCAGAAGACCCTCCCATCACAGGCTTGTGAGCTTTCCCGGGCCCAGCAGGAATTAGAAGGGACACGTGTTCCACCACATTTGCTGTGATCACAAACATGTTCTCAGTGTACGAGCAGGGACAGCACTTTTGCAATGCAGGGAGCCAGGGTCTAGCAGGGAAGAAGGACTCGTGGAAGGACTGTGCCTGGTATTCAGAGTGGCCAAAGGGCATTGCAACAGTCACTCTAATGAGGTTTAGAATCTGTCCTGCCACTTAAGCTTGGAAATGCTAATTCCTCAGTGTCTTCCTTATATGTAAAATGGAGAAAGGCCAGCCTGTTGCTGATCTGTTGAAGACTCCATGAGATGAGATTTCTAAAGTGCTTTTACAGCCGTAGCTCATCATACACGTTCAATAACTAACAATTATGGCTGTCATTCTTCCAGAGACTCAAAGAACATGCACGAAGAGCATGTTCCCTTCCCCAAAGGCTGGACAAGGAGCCGACCCTTGTCACCACTGTGCCACTTTACTGGGCCACTTTGGGCAAACCAAATGGCTAGGTACTGGGGCTACAAAGCTTGATGACCCTCCTATGCTGCTGCTGCGGAACACTTGTCTATAGAGAAGAACTGAGCGTTTCCCCCTGGTGTGGACCTGTCCCACCAACAGCGCGGTGATGGTGATGTGTGTCCCAGACGAGGCTTTCAAGGGAGAGCTGAGAGCTGTGTGCTGTGTGCACGAGGCTGAGAAGCAGCAAGGCCGAGGGTTCGCGAGCCCAGGCCCCAGAGCCAGGCTTCCCGGGCCTCCAGCTCTGGTCCATCACTCATTAGCTGTGTAGCAAGGTCCACAATGCTTGGTGGATCTCACTGCTTAAAATCTACACAGTGCTGGTTAGAATAATCCCTATCCCATTGTGTGATTTTAAGAGCCAACTCACTAACACAGCAAAAATCCCACTAGTAAGAATTACACAATGCAAAGCCAGCAATTGTATTAGCTTGCTAATAAAAACCAGAGAAACAAACAGCAAATAGGCAGTCCAGTGACCCCAGAAGAAACCCTTGGCTCTCCCATTGACTCTCTGAACCAATGTGAGTACATTATGTCCCTTCTGTAATTTATCTTTCTTATGTGACAAACCATTCACATGTGCACCAAGAATGCTGAGAGGCTCAAAGCACTTACTTTAGAAAGCTAGGTATCTCTCATTCAGTAACTTGATATCTGAATGTCTTAGCATTACATTGGAGTTTCATATAGAAGGTGTGTGTGTGTGTATTGGAGTTTCATATAGAAGGTGTGTGTGTGTGTGTGTGTGTGTGTGTGTGTGTGTGTGTGTGTGTGTGTATGAGAGGGGGGGAGCATGAACTCCTGCATGTACCTATGTGTATAGGGGGATGGCATATGCTGTGTCTTAAGGAATCAGTCATGGGGCTATGGAGATTTGTGTCCACATGGTCTAGGCCAGGCTAGTAACCTTGGGAGAAGAGCTTCACTTCAGTCTCGAATATATTAAATAGAAAGTTCTTCCTTTCACCATAGACTTTTTTCCTTAAGGTTTTTCCCCTTTGTTTAAAGACGAGGATTCTTTGTGTAGCTGACTGTCCTAGAACTTACTCTGTTGACCAGGCTGTCCTCAAATTCAGATATCCACTTCCTTCTGTCTGCTGAGTGCTGGGATTAAAGGCATGCACTAACACCTGCTGTCTCTTAAAGTTTTCAATTGACTGGGCCACTTACACTGGGGATGGTAATATGTTTTAGTCAAAATCCCCACTGACTTTAATGCTAAAGGGACATCTAGGCTGGTGTTTGCTCAAACAACTGGGCTACATGCCCTAGTCAAATTAGCCATCACACTGTTCGTTAAAGGAGGGTGACTCCCATGGGTCTCTAAGGCAAACGCTCTGGGATGCACAGTGAATTTGCTTTTTGTTACAGAACACAGGACAGGCTAGAGATGCCAATGAGGCCATGCTCCTTTGGAAGTGAATGCCAAGTCTACAGAAAACCCCCAATGTACTTCTAGAAGACTTGGTGTAGGCAGAGTCAGAAGGATGCATCCACAACCCCCAGGGTGGGTGTCTGAAGTGCACCCATGCTCTTACCTATTATGTAACGGTTACTGTGTTAGGAACTGCATGGTAATTCACTGAATTCTTAGGACAGCCCTATTCGAAAGCTGTTCACGAATGAAGACATAAAGAGTAAACAATCAATTCAAGGACACAGAGCAAAGAATTCCACGAAGAGAGGACTGTCAGAGAAACAGACCACACCAACACTGTTAGCCGCTACCATGGACTCATATAGTCTGCTGTCTTTTAGCACAGAATCGACGGTGTGGGGCCGTGTTTCACTCGTGGTGCCCTGCACCCCTTCTCTTGGCTGCCTGATCTACCCTGGCCACCCCTCTCCTCTGCTCTGCTCTTCTTGGTGTCAGCACTGGGAACACCTCCTCCATTTGCTCCAGCTGTGTGTGGCCTCTGGGATTCAAACTGCCCAGTTGTTTTCATGGTCTCAGACCGTCCCTGGAAAGCACATCTGTAAGGCATCTGTAAGGCATGCCTCAGGCCCCAATCATCGCAGCCCTCACTGTATCCCTCACTAGTGATGACCTGTAATCCATCAGTCATAGGTAATGACAAACGTCCGTCTCTACAACCTTGACTTCAGCTTGCACACAAAGGAGCCCTTCCGCGTCAGCCTTTGGGCTTCCTAACTCCTATGCACAGCCAGCCTCCGCCCTGTCTCTCTTACTCTCCAGTGACCAAACCAAGCTCGCTCGTCACCTGACCTGCTTTGCCTTCCGCAGTTAAAAAGCAGAGTCTTGTCCTTTCCCACCACCTTAGTGTGACACCCCCCCCACCCCACTCCCTCACCCCCCCGCCCAGCACCATCGTATGACCCAGCAGTTCCTGGACCTTGCCTTTGGGCCCACTGTGGCCTTCTTACTCCCGCCTTCCTTATTTTGCTTTGTTTTTCCAGACAGTGCCTCTGAGTCCCACTGCTAGTTGTGTCACTGTCCAGGCCACACTCTTTCACACACACCAGCACAGGGCTCTGCCCAAAACCTTCTCCTGCTCCCTTGTGACTCGGTATTAAAACTGATCTGTTTAATTACAGTGAGTGGGGCCCTCCTAGAGCTGGCATTCATGGGACCTCTGCTCTCTTAATGGTCTCTGCAGCCACTGTGCCAGGTTCTGTGAGACAGGGAGTGACCACTGTCACTGGTATTTCCCATCAACACCAGCTGTTCCCACAGATAAGGACGCTTTCCTTCTTCCCAAGGCCTCATGTCCAACCCCACCTTTCTCCTACCCTGAGCTCAGAGACCCTTCACCTCGGAAGCATTTCTAACTCCGTGCACTGATTAGCCTTGGTTCCAAGTTGCCATGCTGCTGGTCTGTTCCTCTCCACTTTTTCTACCCTTTTCTCTAACTTGATCTGCGCACAGAACCTTAGCTTTAGGCTCTGCAAGGACATCTTCAGGCTCTCGGCTCAGTCATGCACTGGCAAAGTCCTTACACCTACAGGGTATCTACAGGGAGCAGCAGCCTTCCATGTCCACAGTGAACTGCTTAGGACACTGCCTGGAACTGATACTCCACAACGAACCAAATGACACTGTCCATGAGACACATCACAGAAATTCTGTCCCTCCGGAATGTAACACACAAGAGGTTATGAAGCAGCCCTGGTTCCCCTCACTCACAGAGAGGCAAGCTACCTTCAAGTTTCTGTCTCCATGGATTAGTTACATAGAAACTGGCAACAGTAAAATGACCCATGATGCTTCCATAGTCTCTCAGATTTTATTTATTTACTTACTTGAGACAGGGTCTCACCAAGAACCCCTGGTTGGCCTTGAATTCATAGAGCTCTGTCTGCCTCTGCCTCCTGAGTGCTGGAATTAAAGGCATATACCACCATTTCTGGCTATGTTTTCTCAGTTCTATTTTTTGTTTGTTTAATTAAGGCAGGGTCTTTCCACACAGCCCTGTCTGGCCTAGAACTAACTTTGTAGACTGGGTTGGTCCTCTCAGGTCTAACAGGTAAAAGAAAAAATTAATTATTCTGTCTTCTTAGAGAATCCAAAGTTATTCCGAGAATCTCAGAACCTTTTAGGACCAACAATTTAATGGAGGTAAAAGAAAACTTCTTATTGAATAAAAACATTTCAACTGATTAGCAACTATGGATCAAAGTCTATTCTGAAGCCTCGACATAAGAAGGGGTGGGGTAAGGCTTTCACTGCTAAGATTTGATTCCATGAGCAACTCTATATCACCCCCCCACCCCGCATTTCTATCATGAGATCTTACTTGAACCTGATCTGGGTTCTGGAAGGCGACAGTGCCCACCACCCTGCAGTTACCTCATCATGTCATTTAGCTAGGCAGCGTCCTCCTGGGATGCTGGATCCGTGGGCGAGCTGCTTACTTCTGAACGTAACACACTAACTCTAGGGATGAACCGGTGGCCCACTGGGTGTCGACAACAAGATATACATAGTTTAGTCATCAGTGCTAGCAAAAACAGTTCCTTACTACCCCACAGACAGAAAGAAAGCCCAAAGGTTCACACAGCAGCGGCAGGCAGGCAGGAAGTGACGTGCTCCAGGGAGCTGGCATCCCATTAGTAAAGTCTGAACTCTTCCTGGGTCACACTGACCTGTCCATGTGTCTCTTGCCATGTGAGTTGAAGTACTAATCACTTGGGGCTGAGGACAAGGCTCAGTGGGTAAAGATCATGCCGCCTACAGATGTCCAGCAAACCTTTTACGAGGGGAGGAGCAGGCATGGCGGTGTGCCTACAGTCCTGGCACTCAGGGGGTGGAAACAGGACCCCCAGAGCACGTGGCTACCTCAACAAGCAGAACTGACAAACTAAATTCAGGAGAAACCCTAACTCAATGTTATGAGGTGGAGGGTGGTCAAGGAAGACACCGAACACCCTTGGCCTACACATGCACACCTATCCATATAGGTGCAGCCCCCAAAACTAAATATATTACCTGAGAATCACACTTTACTGACATATTTTAGTCCTCTTAATTCTAAGGGGGAAAATTAATTTTAACCACAATGTACATGGCTAGTTCATTATGTAACTGAGCATCTAAAGCCCTAACTTGTGAAACAAGGCAACAGAACCAGACGTAAAAAGGCTGTGAGAGGACAAGGACTAGCTGCTCACACTTGCTCCAACCCTTCACCGATGGACCTAGGCTAAACCCAGACTTGCAGACTGGGTGCTTGTCTGCAGATGCCTACATTCCTCCTCGCCAGACGTCACACGGCAGAAGCACAACCATGCTTCCAAGAACGCCCATTACAGGTTGGTGAGGAATCTGAAAAGAGCGGTGAGTGAGATTCCAGGGGTGACTCCCATGTTTGAGCTTCCCTATATTATCACAAGGTTGAGAAATATCACATTTCCATGTCACACAGACAGTATGAAATCTGGCATTGGCTGTAAAGTTTGAACCAGTCCTGGTCAGTTTAATATGACTGTTAATAGCATTTTGCCAAAGTATATTAAAAACTGAAAATAAAACTAACTAAACAATTTACAATTTCTCAGTTCCAATAAAGTTTGTATGAAAAACAAGTAGTATTTCATAGTCTCTCAAATGCTTAAAGCAAAAAAAATATGATCAAGAGGGAAATTGAGGCAACATAGTAAAATCATTTTGTTGAGGGTAACTCACATCTTAAAAGCAATCATGCCATGAGCATAAACTAACTACATTCTCTTGGAGCAGATTTTCATGAGAAGGAGGCTACCAAGCTTCCTGCTTAACTGAACGATAAACCATGTGAATTACTCAGTGGACACAGGGACAGACCACTATGCAATGGAACATCTGTTAATATCCTTATCCATGCTCTCTTTCCCCCGATAACATACAGGCACTGTAACTAACATATCTTTTCATTATGTCCAGTGGAATGTATACTATCTTCATGAAAAAGTAAAATCAATAAAAATAAAACTCCCCATTTTTCCTACCAGGAGTAACTTCAGGATGCCGGGGGCAGAGACAGCTATGTGCAGACTGCAATACTCTGAGACATGGTTCAAGTGGAGTTCTAAGTAGAAAATTCACTGCTATGAACTTTGTTTTCCAAGCGCCAGGCAGGCATGCTTACAGTACTATTCATACGGAGGCAGACAGATCGTCAATGACCTTCTGGGTCACTGACTAGGGAGAAAGCCGAGTATAAAAAGGAAAAGAAAAAAGAGTGGGGGAAAAATAAAAGGGGAGTTTGCTTCCTTCCACTCCAGTCCCCCTACTGCCTTGAATGGAAGAGGACAGATGGCGGCCACCTTCCCCTTTAATTAGGAAGAGCGTCTCACCAGGGAACGGCAGGTTTGCTTGGCACCATCCTTAACAAGGAAAGTTCAATGGGAATGCTCTGCTGGCTTACCCTTCAACATGCTCCCACTTTAATTTACAGACTGAAGCTCTGTAAACTGAATCGAATAAAGTCATAATTTCCATCATGTCGCTATCTTAAGGAAAATACTTAAAAATGTTTGCTGAATTAGTAGTCCTCTGATGTTCACAAAGGGTGGCGAGTGGGGGCCTGGAGTGTTTCAGGTGGACATCAGCCATACTTAGTCCCGTCTCCACAACTCTGAGGTAAAAATGGGATTCTGTGACACCAGCGCTAACTGAATCCCTGCCATATGCCACAGGAGACCCTTCTCCTCACTCTTCTGCTGCCACGCTGCCTCCTCCTACCCTCCAAGCGCCATCGGGATGGAGAAACAGTCAAGAGCACTCTACAGCAGCGCAGTTCCCTTCAGAAGGAAAGAATTTCATCACAATCACAAACCACTCAGCCGTTCTGGGTTCTGCCTGCAATGTCAAAGCCAAAGGACTCCCATTTAAAAGTGAACCAAGCCACCTCTAGAGACAGAGTCAATACAGAAACCCAACAGGATTAAAGATACACGTCCACTGTAGAATTAACGTGCTGTCACAGGCTCCTACATAGGTGACTGATGCCTCTTTGTATTCCAAAGGCAAAAAAAAAAACAAACAAAACAAAACAAAAAAAACCCCGCATTCACTCCAAAGCTACATGGTACAAAACCTCCTAACGGAGGAAAAGTCGTTTCTCTTGACAGACCAGCTCTCTATCCCCTTCATCCTCATTTAATTTTCTCCCCCCCCCAGCAAGCTTAATTTTTTAATTGGCATCTTTCCAATTCCTTACAGATTTTAAAATTATTCCGCTCTGTCTGTAATCCTCTCCTCGCTGGTTTCCACTCAGTTCCCGCTTAGGGGTCAGGGAGACTCTCTGCCTGTACACCGCCCTGAGGACACGACACACCTTGCCTGCTTCCAACAGGAATCAGGCAGGGAACTGGGCTGTTTTGCTGAAGGAGCTCCCGGCTACTACAAGCACAGAAGGAGTCTGTCATTGTCACTTAACTGAGAGAGAAGAGCCAAGGGATGGGGAGTGACCAAAGAGCCTGTTTACTTCTTGACAATGCTCCCCAGTCTCTAAAGCAAACCAGCCTCTTATATATGGAAGACAGAAATGATTAAAGAAGCAATTAGAAGTAACAACTATACTTCCCACTTCAAAGAAGGGGGGGGGCAGGACTTAGCCCTTATCAGGTATTGAACATCTAACAATGTTAACAAGGAAAATCACGAAGAAGAGACTGACCAAAAAACCAAAACCAAACCAAACCAAAACCCAACTTACTTCACTTTCTAGCTGCAAGCAGGTTGCGTGCTGGGCTGGCTGCTGGCAACTGCTTCCTCAAGGCCCTGGTTTCACTTTAAAAGCTGTGTGTGTACTAACACACCCAGGTCTGCTGTGGAACACCAAAAGCACCTCGCTTCTGTCAAGGCCTCAAGTTCACAGTTCATCTCGGCGCTACTGAAGACACTTTTGAGAACAAGGATTCCCCAGGGCAGACTGAGATGACCTCTAGACGCCACGTGGCTCCACCGCTGTTACTACACAGACAGACAAACACAAACACACACACACACACACACACACACACACACACACACACACACACACACACACACACACACACACACACACACACACACACACACACACCCTGAAGGAACGACATCTACTTGTTACCTTCAGTACCCTGAGGCCAGCACAACTGCTCCTAAGAACAGCTTGAGCCTCCACTCTCTGGCGTTCTCAGGACCAAGGTTGGGAAACGGCTAAGGCCAAGCCATGCAGCCCTGGCATTCTGCACCATTCACTTTCTTTAGCTCGGACGCCTGCCTATCCAGGCGAAACACCAAAGCAGACGACCAGAAGAGCCATGCTGCTCTTGGCGGTGACTGCAACCTACCGTGGTTTGAAATCTACCACATTATTTCAAAGGTTTAGATCAGAAAACACGAAACTGAGGTGTGAGGAGGGGGAGATGGAAATGGAAGGAGTTACTGGGAGAAGTAGCGAGTAAATATGACCAAACACATTATATACATGTATGAAATTCTGAAAAGACCAACAGACTGTATTTTAAAAAGCAAACATGAAATAGATTATTTCCTTCATTAAAAATAGAAAAAAAAGAGAATCTTTATAATATAACCAGTAACAAATCTCATCTGGGTAACTTGTTTGTTTCTTTTTAATCCAGAAATAAAAAAAATACATGCAAACGTGACGTTTGTTTGGAAAATTACTTCATCCATGCACTGTCCAACTCATAAAAACAGACCTCCTTTCCAGCAAAAGGGGACACTTTGACCTTGTTTACTGCGCTGTTTTGAAACCAAGGTCTCGTAACTCCTGACATCACTGGCCATGCATTAGCACCTCTGCTGCTGTTGGCTGCACAGGCTGCTCCAGCTGCCTCGCACAGCCCACAAACACCACAGCACAGCCGGGGCAGTGGCATTAGCATTATACTCACAGGGCTCACACGGGACCATCAGGAAATGCTTGGTTTTCTGGTCCTTCTTACAGGAAAGCAAAGGCATGCTACATCAGATTGTAAGTCCCAACATCCAAACCCAGTCCCTGCCAGCTCTTTTTCTACTCAAGAGACTGGCTTCTGCGTTCACCTCCGCCATATTGGTGAGAATTCCCACCCAGAGCCTCACTCCAGGTGTGACTTCATTCCTATGTGCATGGAGCTCCCCACAAACGTTTCTGAGTTTTCAGTTCACAGCACTGAAGTATTTCATGGAGTACTGTGCTCTGAGGGCTGGTAATCGACAGAACACACTACTGGTGGTGCTGTGTCTCAGTGCTACCTGTTTGAGCGAGGAACTGCCCCTTCTAAGTCTGATCCACTTTTTTTCTCCCTTCCTCGATTTGAATATAATAAAGCAAAGAAGAGTTGCAACTGGAATCCTATTGTAACTGCATCTGTGAGAAAATCTCCTGTATCTCACCCTCCTGAAATAAAATTAAACCCTGACTCTTTAGCCCTTGTGCTGTTTTACAGAGTAATTAAAAGCTCACAATTCTGGGATGCCTACTGAGAACTATCTTGGTTCCTCTGCTAAAAATGCTTATAAGCACCAAGCCCTTAATCACAGCACCAGAGGCCCAGGGAACACAAAACATGTCCCAGAGCCGTGAGTGGGGGTAAACAGAAAGACACCGGTTAATAACATCAAGTCAGGCTGAAGAACGGCCGAAGGGCCCGGCACACCAAGCTGCTGTGCCATGGACAGTCCTGTAAGGAAGTGGGATAGATTTAAGATCCCTGGTAAACACGTGTAACCCTGCCAGCCACAAGTGAAGCTCAGCAGAGGCTACCTGGCCAAACGCACTTGGGAAACATGGAATCGGTACCTTGAGAGGGAGCTGCAGGGCTCTTCGTGTGGATCGTGAAGAAGTGGGTGGCTCTCTTGGTAATCAGAACCGTTTTGATTTCCTCCAGTGGAGCCACCCCCACAGCCTATCTGGTTGGCGTGTTGGCATGTTACCTTTTTATAATGAAAGCAAAGTCTGAATCAGTCTCAAAGGGAAAGGATGAAGAAAACAAAACAAAACAAAAACAACCAAGTCTAACAGTCTCTCAGCTAGGGAGCCACATATTCAGGACTTATTATCAAAACAAAACAAGAGGACAGCTTTTTCCTCAGAGACTTTCTGCTCCTCGCTATTTAGGCTGATTTACACTTTATGTAATCTTCATGGCTCAATCAGGAAGTGAGAATTTTAAGTGCGTGTGTTATGGGCGGGAGAGTCACATGACCCACAGCAAAGACAATTAGACAGTAGATTAGCACAGTGAGAAAAAGAAACTTAACAGGCATTTATAAATAGTATCCTTGGGATATGCGGGGCCATGAATGGCCTTTGTGGAATGAGGATTTGTTTGGAACCTTTGAAAACAAGTCCCCAAGACTTTTCTTTAAACAAGTGAGTTTCAAGCAGCACACAGAGAAATGAAAGCTTAATTATCAAATGGGCTGTTTCTTTGAAGATAATGACCATTTTTTGAATATGATTTGGAGACCAGAGAATACAGAGCGTCACCAAATGAAACATAAGCTGTCGTTGCTTATAAAAGTGTGTGTTTTCTCTCTTGCACAGGGCTGCATCATCCTGGCAAGCTCTTCAGATTTATCTAGGGCCTATAGATTCAAGGAGACACTGCACAGTACAATGGCAAATACATTTTCAAAGGAAAAATATTTTCACGAGAATATGAGTTTTATTAAATGGCATCATTAAACAATGTGTGAATCATCTTGTGAGTTATAGAAGTTATACCCAATGCCTGACCACATCAATCACTCCAAAACAAAAAAGCACTGAGTATAAAGTGACTTTGCATTATAAAAATTGTTTGAGGTACATTCTTTTTTTTTTTTTTTTTTTTGGTTTTACGAGACAGGGTTTCTCTGTATTATTTTGGAGGCTGTCGGTCCAGCCTAGCCTTGAACTCACAGAGATCCGCCTGCCTCTGCCTCCCGAGTGCTGGGATTAAAGGCGTGTGCCACCACCGCCCGGCATGCTACTTTTTAAAACTAGAATATATTAAAACATTTGAAAAAAAGATTTGATTGGCTGCAGATTCTCAGTGCAGATTCTGCTACTAATACATTCAAAAGCAATCACTTATTAATACCGACAGAATTACCAAGGCTTAATAAGAGCAGGCATTCATTTGCTCCTCGCTATTCCTTCCAGCACTTTCATACGTCGTGTTATATTTTTTATCTTGGCCTTTTAGAAACATTTACACTATGGCTCTGGGCAAGAGGCAGAGTAGATGAGGTGTGAAGATGACCAGCCCTGGATTTCCTGCTATTATCCACCTTTCCTCAATGCTACACATGAGCAAAGAATGGCTAGGGGAGCAATCCTCCAGAGGGATCTTTATGACAGCTTAAGAGCAGCCAGGGAAAGTCAGCAGAAATTATCCCAAGGTGGAGTGTTAAGTGTCATCCAGCCTCATCTTACAAAGCTTGGTCTCATACCCATTGATTAGACCCAGCATTAGATCACAGCAGACCATGGTGAGCCTGGGTATGCCCCCTGCCTAGACTACAACTTTAGAAGCATGCTGGGAATGCATAGCTCTCTCCCTCTTCTGTATGTTGAGAAATTAGAGAAGTTGAACTTTCCTGGTACACAGACAGCTGAAATCAGAGCAAAGATGTCTGACTTCCCTTGGCTGTCCTCATGTTCTACTTGCCCTCTGCCTCGGCTTCCCATGAATAACCAAGTCAGCTAAGGCGACCCTAGTTCCCAACTCCTCCCCGGTCCCTCACCGCTGGATCTAGCAGCCTGTGCTGGCTGGGAGGGGGTGGGGTCAGGGTGGAGTCTCATGGTTGGCAGGGGACAGGGCAGTGTGGGACAAGTTACAGAGCCCTCTGCCCAGTTCCTCCGGCCCTTTGACTCAACGTCCTCATCTTCCCCAGCGAGACAAACAATGCACTTTCATAAGAAAACATTTGCTTTGTAACACAACTACGTTAATAGTGTGAAGGAAGTCAGGAACACAGTATTTTGGCAATTTCCACTCTGTAACACCCAGTAAAAGTAACTCTGTAGAAATTTATACAAATGGTAATCTTATAAATATTTCTCAGCTCTATAAAAATTACCTTGTTTATACCTCTTTAGGACCTCAAGACATAATATGTCAAGATTCACAGTAAAAGACAGAGACTACCAATCAAAATGCCACTGTAATTCCCCTTGTGAAGTGCTATTACCTATGTATACTTTTCCTGTAGCTTAGGAGTTATTTGTAACTGTCAGACCTTTCATAACAATATTACAATTTTAAGACTGACAAATGAAGAGTGTTACTATACCAGTTAAATTTCAGAATGCAGACTGTAAGCAGTCACAGATGGCTACCCTGTTGCTCAGGGGTTTCCTTTAGTCTGTGGAGTCTTGGTATGCCTTCAAAAAACACAGCCACTGTGCGGGGACGGAAGTAAGGCCATCTCTTAGCTACCCTATGGTCTCCACACGGCTCTGTGAGAATCTTCAGCACATTACTGTTGGCCACCGACCTGTACTTGTCATTTTCTGACTCAGGGGTGGTATGAATGCAATGTGCACACGGTGGAAGTCACACTTGGAACTTTGATCTTCTGGTCTCTAGTCCGAAACTCTCCTCGCAGGGAATCCTGGGCCCTGCGGCTTCCTGCCAGCCATGTAATTCTAAGAGCAAAAGACTGCACTGTGTTGCTGACCAGTGATGTTCATTGACACAGCAACGAACAGTAATTTTCCTTCTCTTTTCTAGTTTTGGTGTGTGTGTGTGTAGCGTGTGCATGTATATGCAGCCGTGTGTGCATGTTCCTCTATTGCGCTCCACCTTGATTTCTGATGCCAGTTTCTCACTGAACCTGGAGTCTGCTGTTTCAGCGAGCCCCCTGCCTGTTCCCAATGTTACCCGAGGTTACAGGCACATGTCACCATGGGAAGCTGTTATGTGGGTAATGGAGACCCAAATTCAGGTTCTCCTGCTGGAACAGCAAGTATTCACTGAGGCACCTCACAGTCTTTTTCACTTTTTATGGCGAGATGGGACTTCACCAAGCTGGCTAAGCTAATCTTGAATTTATACTGGAAGACCTTGGCCCTGTTTCCTTCTGTCTCATCTTACAGGGGAGATGGGAATCCAGGCCTGGCCAATGTTCATTTTCTGTCTTCTAACTTCTGTTGTATTTATGCGTATGTAGTCCCAGGTAATGAACGGTCCAAAGGTCATCTGGGGATAATTTATAAACAGAGAAGAAAGACTCCATGGAAGCGGCAGGTATGCTAGGAGCAGGAAACCTTAGCTTCTAGTTAACTTAAGACAGGAAACCTGGCACCCACCTGTACAACCCGACAGCAGCAGTTCTCACAACCACCACATAAAACCGGAAGCTACCTGGCCATCCATCCATGGGCGATCAGATAAAGAAAATGCCACACACAATGGAATATTACTCAGCCTTAAAAAGAAAAGAAAAGCTTTGAAGATTACAGGGATGGGCCCTGGGGATTCTGAGTGACATGAAGACAAACGCAGTGTGATCTGATGCATACAAGGTCCCTATAATAGAGTCACTAAGTTGCAGTAGACTGAGATTCCTTGAGGATAGAGTTTGGTGTTTAAGGAATGGATACATCATGTTCTGATGAAGAGAATTCTGGAGAAAGGAGGATGTGCGACAAGGAAGTGTTTTCAAACGAGTAATTTAGAGTTAGCAGAGTGGGGCAGTGGCCGTAGTTGAAAGCTGCCAAGGTTTGAGAAGAAAAGCTGATGACATCCCTGGAGGGGATGTCCAGAGAACAGAGACACATCCACAAGCATGGGAAAACAGGGCTGCATTTCATCAACGGTATGGAACTGATCGAGCAGGTGTGATTTGAGGGGATGTGGTCAGATGTAAGGAATCTTGTAAGCAAGCAAGCTTAGGAAGTGAAGTTTATGATCTTGACCACTGAAGGATTAGGGGGAAAATGGAGATGATCAGACTCCACTTAAGTGGTGCTGGGGTTGGGAGGGGCAGAACCCTGGGTATTGCGGTAGGGTGAGGAGCTCTGTAGAGAGGGCTGGCAGCCTCAAGCACACAGACAGGGCACCGGCTGGGTAGATGACAGCTGTGCACTGAGGTAAGGAATTAAGATGCCCAGTGGGAGGTAACAAGGTCACTAGTTACTAGTCTGGGGGCCACGGGTCAGGAGCAATGGCCAAGTCTCATTGTATTCCTCCTCCACCCGTTTCTCCACAAAACAAGGAAAACTGCACGATTCCTGTCCACAACAGATATGTGCGTGTGCGCGCACTCATTCGAGCGTGCACGGGGGAGAGGTGGTGATCCATCCACACTTCTAGCTGTCCTCTGATCTTCAAAATCACTGCCAGACAGACCCAAAATCCCTGAGCAAGCATAGCCCATCTCTCAAATCAGCTCCATGTGTCCAAATAAATGGCACTTTCACTTCGACTATGTTAATCAAAGCAAATGAAAATCAAACCTAAGCAGGTCAGCATCAAATCTTAATTTGCATCTCTAAAAATAGGTGTTCTATGTCAGCGCAACACAAAACAGAACCAGCCGCCATTTAAAGCATTAGACTTGGGAAAAAATTGTATATATTTTATATATTTTATGTGCCTTAGTCTGGTCCCCTGGAATTAAGAGTTCCCGTGAGCTGCCATGTAGGTACTGGGAATTGAACCCAGGTCCTCTGGAAGAGCAATCAGTGCTCTTAGCAACTGAGCCATCTCTCCAGCCCTAATTCACCTAATTTTTTGAGACAGGGTTTTCTCGATGAATCTGGAGCTTGCCATTTCAATTAGACCAGTTGGTCAGTGAATCCTAGGGATCCTCCTTTCTCTGCAGCCACGCACCTGATCCCACACTGGGTGCTGAGGTCACAGACATGCACCTCTGTCATTGGTTTTTCTTTGTTTCTTCTTCTTCTTCTTTTTTAATGTGGGAGCTGGAAATATGAACTCAGG